ACTTGTGCAATTACCCCCGATAATAGACAGCAATCTTACGCAGAATAGCAGGTCTCAGTCAAATGTTGCTTTTTAACACTCCATTAAGTCGCCCGATATAATTTCGGGTAGAAATATGAACTCTTTTGATGTACTTTCTGCTGCATTCTGAATTGGTGTACGCAGCCTTGGTTCGATGGGGGTTTTCCGAATCACCTATAATCAAAACGACGCCTTCCTACACTACGTCTAAAAATAAAGTTAACATTTTACCACAATGCATACAAACATTAGAAGTTTTTAGGCCCCTCTTAAAATTCACACATCTCACCGTTGAATAAATTAAACTCGCTCCAAGTACGATAATACGTATTCTTCAAAAGGTACACTTTTCGATGAAACTGCAAGAGCTATCCGACAATTCTTCGAATTTTAACGCTTGAATTTCTTTATAGGTTGATGATAAAGATTCGCAGAAACGTACGGCTCTTCACGTAGCGTCCGAAGCTGGTAATGCTCCAGCGGTTACAGCATTGCTGCAGAATAATGCTGATTATGATGCTCTAGATATGGCAGGCGATAATGCTTTACATATTGCTGTCAGGTATGCAACTTGATTAAAATTAATTTTAGAAAATCATATAGCTTGAGTTAATATTTGAAATGCTCGGGGCTTGCTTAGTAAAGCATTGTTCGTACTAAATTATAATGAATAAAATTATTTGAACGCAAAAATATGGATTTAAATATTATTTCGATTTGTTTAGGGAAGGTCATTTGAATGTAGTTCGAGTACTGCTTACCGAATGCTCCATAGATGCGGAATGTCTAAACATAAAAGGAAGAAATTCGCTCCATGAGCTATGCAGATATGGGAAGGATAATGCCGCAGCTATTTGCGAACTATTTTTGGAATGTATGCCTAAATATCCAATCAATACACCTGATGTCTATGGGAATTCTCCTTTGCTCTTGGCATACATGAATGGCAATGCAAATCTGTGCAGGTAAAACTTGTCAAATCTGTACAATGTCCAATTAGAAATGCTGGGTTTTTGAACGGAGATCAAACGGTATTAGTTAGATTTCAGCTTCCGATTCAGTGCTACTAAGAATTTAAGTCGAGTGGTGCAGAAATCTTTTATGGAATAACACTTCCCAAACAACTTATTCTTCTTCTGCTCCAAAAAATCATTGCACTTTTAATCGGCAAGCAAAGAATAAGAATATATTTTACGATATAACATTATCACGATCATCATCTTCTCGATCAGAAAATAAATCGGATACAAAAACTAATTTTGACTTCATAGGAGTAATTTGGATTGTGTCGCTCTAGAAAGTCGAGCGTCGAAGATTTTCTGTTACATAATTTTCTTAATTTAGGATTTTTTTGGGCGGAAACTTCTTGTTTAAATTTTAAAAATTAAATTTAAAAGGTTCTTTAAGACGAAACCAGAAAAACATAGAAAATTTGTAGACTCAAACGACACAATCACCCTAATTTTAAATCAACCAATATTTCTATGCAACTAAGTACAAATGCAATAATAAATTATTGGGTTTAGGGTTTTAGTTAAAGCAAACGCATGCCTTGGAACAGAAAATGCGGAACGAGTAACCATCTTTAACTATCAAGTTCCCAGCAAACAACTATTGACCAAGTTATTAGATCAATTGGCTCAATCGGCTCCCTGGGCACATACAGACAGTTGTCAGGAGTGTGGAAAAGGTAATCATACAATGAAGCACGATTTATTTTATTCACAATGATAAATGATTTATTTGAAGGGTTCTCTATAACTCAACGAACTCACCATTGTCGGCATTGCGGAAGAGCTTTATGCAACAAATGTAGCGATCAAGAAGTTCCCATTATAAAGTTCAAGGAGAATAAACCCGTCCGCGTATGTCAAGTATGTTTTACCGTTCTAAAGACAGGATCTTGCTAAAATAATTCTTAATTAACGATTTAATTGTAACCAAAAATTATGTATTTATATGTATAGTGTATTTTGATATAGACTGATCCATGCAGTCCTGTTTTATTTTGGTATATTTTAAGGTTCCATGTTTTGTTCAATATTGAAGAAGTTGGCAAAAAGACTTGCTCTTTACGTTTACACTAGATTTCAATTTTTGGCTTAAGATGCGTTAGTGTACAAAAAAATTTTTGAAATTAGGCTGACTTTTATGTATAATTTTTACTGACAACATACCATTCCTTTTATAATTAGTTTAATCGTATTACGTAGTAAAAACTCTGCTTTAATTAAACATTCTATATAAAAGTATGTAAAGCTTGCTCACCATCAATCTGTATCTATCGCTGTATTATTGAAGTTCTTTATATTTTAATTACTTCATTGTTCAACTTTTATTTGAAATTGGCAGCATTCTTCTTGATGTGTAGTCTGGAGTTTATTAAAGAGTGCGTAAAAAGTAATAGAAAATAATAATTTTCACCAAATACCGAGACATTACAATTACAAAATACTAAGCATAATTTTCAAACAATATTTTTCATTCTTACTTGCAAACCTCCGTTTCTTCATCACCATTATGTAAGCCTGTACTTGCTTTGCGCTCGTATAAATAAAACTCAAGTGAAAACATTTTTTATTTTTGTTGTTTTGTTTTTAAGTTATACATTTGAGGAAACATATTTTTTTAAATAACTTAACAGACTCTTTTTCTAAACTCGTTGAAAGAATTGACGCCAATTTTGAATCACCCTGTATAGTGATTATTAATATCTATTGGCTTTAATCATATATCATTTTTGTTATAATTAGTTAGTAACAAATAAAATTATTTTTATTTTTAATAGTACTAATCTACAACACCATAACGAATGAGTTTATAGCGCTGTTGATATTCGCAATCCTTGTTTTTTTCATCATTTTATGTGCTTTATATAGCACTGAAGCTGATGGAGTATAAACAGGTACATTTATCTCGCAAGTAATGTATACCGAAGGTGTAAAAATCCTTTACAAATTCAAAAAAAAAATGAAGGGATTTTCCTTTAGAAAGATTGTGGACGACAATAGATGTTCGGGTTTCAGACACAGAGGAACACGTATTGGAGAGCAGAGCCTTCCAGTGGTACTCAGAGCATTGCACAAAAAGTGATACTTTCCCAAGCCCCAAATAAATACCGAGGAAGGGTTACTACGATGTATGTAAGATACACGGGACACATTAAACCAATGGCTTACTGAACACCGGTACAAATTGAGCAGGAGTTAATTAACCGAATACGACACGCTGCTCGAGAAGAGTGCATAATAAGATGATTACACAGGCACCAACTTGTTTGCAGTAAAAGACTGAAATGTTTATTCATAGTCTGTACGCTATGCCTTTGGTCGCACGTCATCAGTGACAAAATTTCACTACTAACATAAAAAAAATTATGCATAAAATTTGTTTCATAAGTCAAGCAATCATAAAATGCGAAAGAGCTTTAGAATCAGTGTGGTCAGATTGGGCGATTAATCGCAAATTGGGCTACTTTTCGGAGATGTTTGAATTCGGAACTGTGGCGATATTTGATGTGCCATGAACATATTCGAGCGATGGTCCGGGAATATCGCACAGTTTGACTATGGGTTGCACCAAGCGCCTTTTGCCAGGAAGCTATTCTCTATGGAAGCAGCACCTTGAAAACCTTCGAAATATATGTAGTATGTAGAGCGAATAATGTATGTAGTAATCTTGAAAACAAGACATACGAGTCTTCTAGGAAATGAACACCTGAA